CGTCACTAGGATATCACTCAAGATCTCATATGAATCTACCAATTCCGGGTCTAGATTGCTCCAATTCACTAAACCACATAAGGTGAGAATTCAAGCAAACCTATCTCATAAACATCAAGGACACTCAATAACCTTACCATCTAAGCATATTATCCCGCATTGGGGTAAGCCTAAACTATCTCATTACACAACATGATTCTCAAACCAATGAGGATCTCACTCCTACCCTCTTTTAAAGGAGCTTAATCACTCAACATCTCTAGGTACCACTTAAGAATCACTATTCGTCAAAATCCAACACATCATAAAACTCATAAGGACTAAGTTGAGTTATACTAATCACTCACATATGGCCATAACTAAACCCATGAATATTAAGGACGACACAAAAAAAAAAAAAAATCGCGATATTCTCTTTATCAAGTCACGAAAGACAAGTATTACTAAGATTACTCCTACAAGGTTCATCACCTTAGATAACTCCTTTATAAACTCTAGAGGATCTTCCTCTATCTTTGGCCCATGGAATTTCCGCAATTCAATAAAACATAAAACACATACCGGAACCCTTAAGATCCACTACCACTCACTCTTTGAGACTTACGGGTAGACATCCTTTCTTGGTTAAACCTTAGAGGAACTTAGAGGAATTTTGACCAAGAAACCTTTCTCTTTTTCACTAAAGTTGGATTAAGACAACTCTAGACCATGTCAACCCTTATCACCACTTTTGGGGGGTCTACCAACCAACTATGCCTAGGTATTATCTAAGCACCCTACTTAAGTGACCATACTTAAGATCAATCTTAAAATACAACAACTAACCCTTTGAAGTTGGTCAACACTTATACTTCTTATTCTTCACCTTAACTAGATGGTACATGCAACCCTCAAAGTCAACTTCAAAACACAACAATAATCCCGACCTAGGGCATATAATTTCTTTTCCCATCTCCACTCTCGGATAGGCTCCTTTGGGAATCAACAATTTGACCATATGGGTTCTACCATCAACTAAACATAACCTCACAATTACCTTGCTAGGTAGGCACACTATCTCCCCCTTTGGAGTAAGCCTACACAAGTTCTTCTAACCAACACAAAGACAATTATGAAGCATTAATCACACAAAATACAACTTCATAATCTATTCCATCAAAGCTCACAAGTCACATAGCCATAATTGGCATTACAACCACTCGCTCCTTCTAGCAAGAACCCTTCAACTGGTCCAACTTTAAACACCATAAGACAAGGAATAAGAGAGAGAGCTTATAGATCTATGGCACGACTTAGAGAATGAAGAAGTGAAACATTTCCTAAAACGTCTCATAGCCTCCTACTCATAGTTGTGGTGCACAACACAACCATGAATCGGACTCTAATCAACGCGGTGTGTTGGACTCCGAGGATCTATCAACCTAGTGCTCTGATACCAAGTTTGTCACGACCCAAGCCTAGGGCCTAGACGTGACCGGCGAATGGGGAACCCGAAGGAACCCCAAACAAGCCTCATAGCGTATCATTACACATCCTTGGTCGCGGAAGCAATTAAAATGACCATAAGCAATAAGCATAATCAAAGGGGGAAATCGGGACTAAGGGAAGCAAGAGAAAAA